AATGTTGACGAGTGATTCACTGTCAGCTCCAGGGGAAAAACAGACCACGTAGGAAGGTGCCATATGGCAAAGACATCAGATTTTTTTTTTTTTTTCTGCCTTCTACTGGGCAATTCTGACCTTGTTATCACACAGTTGAGGTGGAAGCGTGACGTAATTAAACTGATTTACAAAAGCCACATACAGAAACTAGAGTCATTTTTTAAAGTCCCCAGTGTGGTTAAAGTTTACTTCCTCTGCATATTTATAGCAAGGGCTTTTGACCATGCCTGAGGGCAGACAGCCAGCTTCGGATAGATGGGGGAGAAGCTTTTTTGCTGGTTACTGCCTCTTCCATTTGTATTTCCCCTTCAGTTTTACCAAAGAAAAGGCCTTAGTGGACTCAATTCAATGTGAAGGTTGTGCTGTTCTCTACCTGTGGCCACTTCAGTGTGAAAGCCAATGACCATGAGCCGGGTAATGACTTGGAAATATACTAGACAGAGCTCAGCCATGGGAAATACCACAGAAGACTGTTTTAGCTCTAGAATAACATAATTAAAACGAACTTAATTTAGTGCTGCATCTGGAACAGAAATAGTTCCTAAACATGCATACCAAAAGCAAGTATACATTTGCATGATATGTACACAGAGTGTGTCCGTTTTCAGAGAGGGACCAAGATGAGATGAATGAACCTTCACACCTGCTTTACTGTCTTCCACTGCCGTGGAAATTCTGCCTGCGGAGAGTCTGGCGTACTTTATAGATACAATATTCGGAGAAGTAGCGAGGCTGGGCGGTTTGTGGAACACTAGAAGTGTGATGAGGCTGATTCTAGATTTGTCAGTCATCAGCCGGGAGCACTTGGCCCCGTTTTCTAACTCACAGAGTTTTCCAGGATGACATTTCACACTTCCTCCCCTCGGTGTTTTGAGGAATGGCCAATGGGACAGACAGGCGAGCACATGAGAAACATAAGCTGCTAGTTGGCACAGGTGGGTTGGGCTGCTAGAATCAGGCAGGTGTATGGAGCGGGGTGACTCATGGAGGAGGAGGGGTTCCACCTGGGAGGGATGCTTCTCCGGTCTCTCTCTGCATAGGGATTGCGAGTCACTAGTCCTGGCTCCCTGCCTGACCTGCTTCTGGGTCAACCACGGAACCCAGGGCCACCTGGGGCTGGGCCGGCTCCGGCTGCTCCCTTCGGAGCCTTGCCCTGCCTGCTTTGCACTTGTTAGAAGAGGGAGCAGGTACTTCTCCACAGGGACCTGTCTCTGCCTTCAGCTGTCCAGATTCCATAGAGAAGACCTGGAGATCCATGGGGAAAACTCCTTTCATCTGGATGATCTGGCCTGGAAGCCCGGGGCAGCTTCCTCAACCCCGCCGCCCTCCCATTCTCCCTGCCTGTACCCAGGGAGCCTCAGCCCCTACTCCACTTCCGAGGGCAGAGGTGGAGCCTGCCTGGGACAGTAGCCATCTATACCCTCATCTCCAGGCCCTCAGCACCCTCTGGACGTGACTTCCATCACTTTCCAGATAATGAAGAAAAAGCTCATGTTTTTCATTGAGCTGTATAATCTGTGTAGCTTGCAAGACAAGAATATGCCGCCCCCGAATAGGCATAAGGATCGTTGAGCTAAAGGCAATTAAGAAGCAGATGCAGCTCACTCACAGGCGGGTGTTGAACGATGAGATCACGGGGACACAGGGAGGGGAGCATCACACACTGGGGTCTGTCGGGGAAATAGCGGAGGGACGGTGTGGGGTGGGGAGTTGGGGAGAGACAGCATGGGGAGAAATGCCAGCTATAGGTGATGGGGAGGAAGGCAGCACATCACGCTGCCATGTGTGTACCTACGCAACAATCTTGCATGTTCTTCACATGTACCCCCAAACCTAAAATGCAATTTTAAAAAAAGCAGATGTGGGAGAGCTCTCTGCCCTCCCTCGATTTGCCTAAAGTAGGGCTCAAAGACAAAAGGTGCCCGGTCTCCCTTCTGCCAGAGAGAGCAAAGGTTAACCACGGAGGAGAACTTCAAACCCTGTTGGCCTAGAGATGGTGCCAGAGGAACCTCTGTGGGCAAGCCTCGCCGAGCAGCCTTCCTCTGCCAGTTACTTGCTTTTCCCCAAGTTGCTGCCCCTAGAGACTCACAATCCTTTTCATTTCTATTTTTTAAATATTTAGAAAAATACTCCCACCCTACCGCCTCCTGGCCCCGTCCCCACTGCAGCCATCCCAGCCACAGCGGGCTCAGGGAGACTCTTCAAAGTCCTTTTCCTTTGCCTCGTCACTTCTCTGAACATTAGCTGTTCTTTGTTGAAAAATACTATCTAAGCTGGAATTCAAAGGCATCTCTTGGAAGTTACTCACTACCTGGGCATCTCCCGCGTACGTATTAAATAACGCATGATGCTAAACTTCTGTTTTGCTCCTGTCTTTTGTTACGGGGGTACATTCCAACTAAGAATTTATGGGAGCTGAGGTAAAAATGATTCTTCCTCTCCTACAGCAATGAACCAGAAGGAGGCCACAGGGCCGTCTGCTTTGGAGGATTTGGTGGAGTCATAGAATTTCTACCACTTTCCTTCACAGAAGAAACAGCACTCTTCAAAACTGCAACAACCCCACTGAAAAGAGAAGAGGCTTCTGGTTACAATCAAATCTGCCAACTGTTAAGGGGACTTGAGGGCACTGTCCCCAGAGCAGCTTCTAGACCTACTCTGCCCCTCCCCGCCCCACGGGGCACCCTGAGCTTTGAGAGACACAGTCCCCCAGCCACCTCTCACATCTTTTGGCCGTGCCCTCTGCAGTGAGCCCCCTCCAGAGAGCTCCAGCCTGGCTCCCTTCCTGCTGTGATGTTTACCCAGTTCCTCAAGTGTCAATTTTCATTCGGATGCCCTCAAATTTCTCTCAGCACACTGTATCTACAGTGAAAATGGAAATTCCAGACCCAAATCGATATTGAACCTCCCCAAAGATGCTGGACCTGGGCTCTCCTTCCCCCTTCTTGGATCCTGAGGAACCAAAGCTGTCCTAGGAGCTCAGGTGTGCGTCTTCCCTTCCTGCACCTGCTTCCACTGGCCCTTGATGGTATCCTGGGAACAGCTGGTCAGGTACTGTTAGCCCCATTCTACCAATGGAGAAACCGAGGCTCAGAGCAGCTGGGTGGGATGTGCCTTCTAAGGTCACACGGTTCATGAGCACAGAACTTGCTTCTAGGCTACCTTTCCATATCCCATGCTTTTCCAAAAGCCCCCTTTTAATGCTTCTCACCCCTTTCTGCTGTGCAGGATAGAATGCTAGAATGGCAGGAAAGTGGTGACTCATAACCATCTTTGGACTTACTTTACCACGCACACAAAACAAGGCTCCCTACCAATCTTTCCACAGCAGAAACTGTGCCTTTAAGAATGCTCTTGAACTCCACGTGTAACTACCAGACAGCACATCCTGGACCGCCTGATACGTGTTATTGTCTGAATGGAAAAACAAGACATGCCTCCAACTCTCCAAAAGTAAGCAGTTCTATGAAACTAACACCACAAAAAGGAACTAAAGAAGAATGGGTCTGCTGTTCTAATACCATCAACTGATTACCTGGAACACAGGCAAAACGCACATCTAGGCTGTCACCAGTGGTGTGGTCTGCCATTGTTTAAAACTGCCACACGTAATAGAAAGCAGACCTCTGCAGTATTTTTCTTACTATTTTTAAATTCTCTGTAGACAATGCACAGCTCTCTCCTTCCCCTGGTACACCACCGAGTGTAACTAGTGATTCATACCAGGGTGATTCATGTTATCCATCAGGTTTTTTCAAAATGACTTTTATTGGTCTTTTTATAGTTGTAAAATAAATCTCATTTTCCCATTGCTGGGCTGCCAGACGCTGCCTTCCCCAGCCTGCTCTCCTGCTGCCTGCCTGCTGGCATCAGCTGGGCCTGGGGCAATGGGAAGTGGACCTGCAAGGTTGTCGAAGACCCCTCCCCATGAGGGAGTGGGGTGGGAGTCAGTCTGTGCAGCTCCCCGTGCCTCCCCGCTCCAGGCCACTGCAGGTGACCACGCCACCAGTTGGCATCTGCCTTGAACCTAGATTTCTTCTGAGCCTCAAATCTAGCCCTGAATGTCAGGCCAGGCAACCAGAAGCCACTTCCTTCCAGTCCCCACATCCTCTGTACCCTCATGGCTGGCCCTGCACCTGCACCTGGACAGAGCACTCTCTGGAGCTGTGACACTGGCATCTCCTGAGGCTAAGAACTGATTGTCTAAATGCCTGGCTGTCACCCTGGCTCTCCTCTACCAGCCTCACCAGACTGATTAAGATGGAGGCCACTCTGGCTCAGCTTTGAGCTCCCTACTTTGTGATTTGAAGCTTCGGACACTGCCAGGGGGAGAAATGTGGAGGGTGACACCCTCTGGCCTGGTTTTGATGGTGTGCTGGTAAATGTGCACCACAGGCTCTCTGGAAGAAGAGCCCCGAAATGTCCATTTGCTGATTTCTGTGGTGTAAATACTCCCCCTGTGGCCAGTTTCCAGCTGTCAGCACGATGTCACTGACTGCAGAGCTGGAAAGAGGTGTGCAGCAGCACAGGGTTCTAGAATGCTTCCCCCACACAGACATACAGATAGATGGAAATAACCTCCACGGGCCGGGTGCAGTGGCTCACGCCTGTAATCCCAGCACCTTGGGAAGCCACGGCCAGTGGATCAAGAGGTCAGGAGATTGAGACCAACTTGGCCAACATGTTGAAACTTCGTATCTACTAAAAAAAAAATACAAACAATTAACAGGGCATGGTGTTGCACACCTGTAGTCCCAGCTACTCCGGAGGCTGAGGCTGGGGAATTGCTTGAACCCAGGAGGCAGAGGTGGTAGTGAGCTGAGATTGCGCCACTGTGCTCCAGCCTGGCGATAGAAGATTCCATCTAAAAAAAAAAAAAAAAAAAAAAAAAAAAAAAAAAAAAAAAGAGGGCGGGGGAGGGGGTAGCGCGCGCACCGTTTCTAGTTGTTTTCAAAGCGCCTCGCGCTGATTCTCACGGACCCGGCCGCCGGCCCCGCTCTGCCCTGCATAATAAAATGGCTAATCAGGTGAATGGTAATGCGGTACAGTTAAAAGAAGAGGAAGAACCAATGGATACTTCCAGTGTAACTCACACAGAACACTACAAGACACTGATAGAGGCAGGCCTCCCACGGAAGGTGGCAGAAAGACTTGAAATATTTCAGGCAGGATTGGTAGCTTATGTCGATCTTGATGAACGAGCAATTGATGCTCTCAGGGAATTTAATGAAGAAGGAGCTCTGTCTGTACTACAGCAGTTCAAGGAAAGTGACTTATCACATGTTCAGAACAAAAGTGCATTTTTATGTGGAGTTATGAAGACCTACAGGCAGAGAGAGAAACAGGGGAGCAAGGTGCAAGAGTCCACAAAGGGACCTGATGAAGCGAAGATCAAGGCCTTGCTTGAGAGAACTGGTTATACTCTGGATGTAACCACAGGACAGAAGAAGTATGGTGGGCCTCCACCAGACAGTGTGTACTCTGGCATGCAACCGGGAATCGGGACAGAGGTGTTTGTAGGTAAAATACCAAGAGATTTATATGAGGATGAGTAATCAGCCCCTTTTTGAGAAGGCTGGACCCATTTGGGATCTACATCTTATGATGGATCCACTGTCTGGTCAGAATAGAGGGTATGCATTTATCACCTTCTGTGGAAAGGAAGCTGCACAGGAAGCTGTGAAACTGTGTGGCAGCTATGAAATTCGCCCTGGTAAACACCTTGGAGTGTGCATTTCTGTGGCAAACAGCAGACTTTTTTGTTGCATCCATTCCGAAGAATAAGACTAAAGAAAACATTCTGGAAGAATTCAGTAAAGTCACAGAGGGTTTGGTGGACGTTATTCTCTATCATCAACCCGATGACAAAAAGAAGAATCGGGGTTCTGCTTCCTTGAATATGAGGATCACAAGTCAGCAGCACAAGCCAGAGGCCGGCTGATGAGTGGAAAAGTAAAAGTATGGGGAAATGTAGTTACAGTTGAATGGGCTGACCCTGTGGAAGAACCAGATCCAGAAGTCATGGCTAAGGTAAAAGTTTTGTTTGTGAGAAATTTGGCTACTACAGTGACAGAAGAAATATTGGAAAAGTCATTTTCTGAATTTGGAAAACTTGAAAGAGTGAAGACGTTGAAAGATGATGCGTTCGTTCATTTTGAAGACAGAGGAGCAGCCGTTAAGGCTATGGATGAAATGAATGGCAAAGAAATAGAAGGGGGAGAAATGGAAATAGTCTTAGCCAAGCCACCGGACAACAAAAGGAAAGAGCGTCAAGCTGCTAGACAGGCCTCCAGAAGCACTGCGTATGAAGATTATTACTACCACCCTCCTCCTCGAATGCCACCTCCAATTAGAGGTCGGGGTCGTGGTTGGGGGGAGAGGTGGATATGGCTACCCCCCAGATTACTATGGCTATGAAGATTACTATGATGATTACTATGGTTATGATTATCACGACTATCGTGGAGGCCATGAAGATCCCTACCACGGCTATGATGATGGCTATGCAGTAAGAGGAAGAGGAGGAGGAAGGGGAGGGCGAGGTGCTCCACCACCACCAAGGGGGAGGGGAGCACCACCTCCGAGAGGTAGAGCTGGCTATTCACAGAGGGGGGCACCTTTGGGACCACCAAGAGGCTCTAGGGGTGGCAGAGGGGGTCCCGCACAACAGCAGAGAGGCTGTGGTTCCCGTGGATCTCGGGGCAATCGTGGGGGCAATGTAGGAGGCAAGAGAAAGGCAGATGGGTACAACCAGCCTGATTCCAAGCGTCGTCAGACCAACAACCAACAGAACTGGGGTTCCCAACCCATCGCTCAGCAGCCGCTTCAGCAAGGTGGTGACTATTCTGGTAACTATGGTTACAATAATGACTACCAGGAATTTTATCAGGATACTTATGGGCAACAGTGGAAGTAGACAATGAAGGGCTTGAAAATGATACTGGCAAGATACGATTGGCTCTAGATCTACATTCTTCAAAAAAATAAAAATTGGCTTAACTGTTTCATCTTTAAGTAGCGATTTGCTGCCATTTGTATTGGGCTGAAGAAATCACTATTGTGTATATATTTAAGTCTTCTTATTTTTCCTCTTTTCATAAATGCTCTTGGACATTATTGGGCTTGCAGAGTTCCCTTATTCTGGGGATTACAATGCTTTTATCGTTTCAGGCTTCATTTTAGCTTCAAAGCCAGCTGGGCACACTGTTAAATCATGATTTTGCAGAACCTTTGGTTTTGGACAGTTTCCTTTTTTTGGATTTGGAATAGATTACATAGGAGTATGGAGTATGCTGTAAATAAAAATACGAGCTAGTGCTTTGTCTTAGTAGTTTTAAGAAATTAAAGCAAACAAATTTAAGTTTTCTTGTATTGAAAATAACCTATGATTGTATGTTTTGCATTTCTAGAAGTAGGTTAACTGTGTTTTTAAATCGTTATAACTTCACACCCTTTTGAAATCTGCCCTACAAAATTTATTTGGCTTAAACGTCAAAAGCCGTGACAATTTGTTCTTTGATGTGATTGTATTTCCAATTTCTTGTTCATGTAAGATTTCAATAAAACTAAAAAATCTATTCAAAAAAAAAAGTAAAGTCTAAATCATTAGGAAGTGATAAGCTTTAAGTGTTTATTACTTTCGTTTTTAGTATAGTCTATTCAATTTGTAAATTTATATCATTTAATTTTTATTTCTTTTTCTTTTTTCTATTTATTTAGAGATAGGTTCTTACTCTGTCACCCAGGCTAGAGTGAAGTGGCATGATCATGGCTCACTTCAGCCTCAACCACCTGGGCTCAAGCAAAGCTCACACCTTAGCCCCTTAAGTAGCTGAAACTGGGAGCATGCAACCACGCCTGGATTTTATTTTTTATTTTTTTAGACAGAGTCTCACTCTGTCACCCAGGCGGAGTGCAGTGATGGGCTCTTGGCTCACTACAACCTCTGCCTCCTGGGTTCAAGTGATTCTCCTGCCTCAGCCTCCTGAGTAGCTGGGACTGTAGGTGCCTGCCACCATGCCCGGCTAATTTTTGTATTTTTAGTAGACAGAGGATTTCATCATGTTGCCCAGGCTGGCCTTAAACTCCTGACCTCAAGTGATCCATCAGCCTCAGCCTCCCAAAGTGTTGGGATTACAGCTGTGAATCACTGTGCCTGGCCCATTTAATTTTTAATAACGGCCGTGTTTCACAAGCGTCTTGCAAATTTCCTGAAAATTCAACCATTGGTGGTCCTGAGCCCATCAGGGCCAGCTCCAGTGTGTCACAGCCTGCTTTGGCTCTCAGGCCCCATATGAGCATGGCTTCAGCTAAATGCCATGCTCCCCTGCCCACAGCCTGTGTGATCTCAGAATTCCTACCAGCCAGAGCCACGTGACTTCTGACATCCTGGTTGCTAAATTCAGTGGGTAAATTTCAGTCCTTATTCTACCTGGCCTCCCAGGGGCTCCTCTCTTGAAACTGTCAACACCATTATTTTTCCTTGCCATGATTTCAAACATTCTCTGAGGGCACAACTTCCTCTGGCGGCCCTTCGGCCATTGGCGTTTTTCAGGATCTGGCCATGAGGTCTCGTTTCACTGTCCTTCCTCAGAATGTGATTGCTCACGCTTCCCAGATCCCTGCCTTCAGTTCAGGTCTCCCTGTTAAACTCAGGTCTTATCTGTGCAACTTCCTGCTGCACAGCTTCCCGTGACCATCTCTCAGCAGGTTCCATCATCCCTATCTGTCTTGCTCACGCAGGCATCCACGCTAGCGTTCACCCCATAAATATTTCTCAGACACATTACCTGCTAGTCACTACACCACGTGCTGATAATGCAGCTGTGACTCAGCCACAGTCCCACCCCTCATGGGGCTTATCCAGGGCACAGGGTGTCACCATGTGCCCAGTGACCCCAGCTAGAGCTTTCGGTCGTCCTTACCCCGACCTCTCCCACTTACTTACCATCGTTTAGTCAGCAGATCTGACCTGTTCTTCCTGCGTGACTCCAGAAGCCTTCCCTTCTTCTGCCCCCACCAGGACTGCCTTTTCCTCAGGCCCTTGTCATTTCGCTTTGGGATCATCAGGAAGCTCCTCACTGCTCTCCTGTCCCCACGCTTGCTGGACTTGAATCCATTCTCCACGCTGCTAGGGTAATGGTATTTCTGAAATCACATTTATGATTTAGCCATTTCCTTGTACGATATTCTCCCAAACACCCTCCTAGCATTCCATATAGCATCTATGCTCCTTGACGTGGTAGAAAAGGCCTTTTAGGTGACCTGGTCCCATTTGCTTCTTTTTTTCTTTTCCTTCCTTCCTGTCTTCCTTCTTTCCTTTCCTCCCTCCCTCCCTCCCTCTCTCTCCCTCTCTCTTTTTCTTTTCTTTCTCTCTCTCTTTCTGTCTCTCTTGCTCTTTTTTCTCCTTCCTTCCTTCTTCATTTCTCTCTCTCTCTCTTTTTTTTTTTTTTTTTGAGACAGGGTCTTGCTCTGAAGACCCGGGAGGCTGGAGTGCAGTGGTGCGATGATAGCTCACGGTAACTTCGAACTCCTGAGCTCAAGGGAGCCTCCCACCTCAGCCTCCTGAGTAGCTGGGACTGATACGCACCACCACAGCTGGCTAATTTTTCATTTCTTTTGTGGAGACAAGGTCTTGCTATGTTGCCGAGGCTGGTCTTGAACTCCTGGCGCCCCCCACCCCATCTGCTTCTCAGTCTTCATGTTACCATTCCTCCTGAGAATTATGTTCCAGCCATGGGGCCTTCCCCTTCGCCTGGAATCCCTGCACCCGATGCCAGCCCCAACCCCATTCCCTTCTTTGACTGCCAGCTCCTTCTAGTCAAAGCTTGGTTCATCTGCAAGCTTCCCAGTACGGCTGTGCAGGCGGGCATTGCAAAGTGGTGGAGGGCGCCCCACGCACATCTGTGTTCACTGTAGATTATGGCAATTTTCTGGCACATAGTGGTAAAATGAACGGTGTCACTGAGGCCATCAGAGGGCTACTCCTGTCACCTCCTCCTGGAAATGTTCACTGGTACATCCAGTTTGCATTGGGTGACTCTTCTCCGTCAGGGCCATGTCATACCAAACTGTGACTGTTTATTAGTGTCCACGCTTCTTTGGGGAATGAGCTCTTGAAGGAGAGGAGGGCCGTGTCCTTCCCCTCTGTGTGCCTGGCATGAGAATGGACCGGCCGTCAGTGAGGGTGGGTTGAGTGAATGAGCGTGTCCGGTGACACGGATAAGGCCTCAAGATCCTGAGTTAGAATCCTGGTGCTGCCTTTCCATCCGCGGTGACTTAGACACGGCGTTCGCTCCACAAGTAGCCACCTCATAGGAAGAGTGTGGAGCTCAAGTGAGAAAGTGGCTGCCGAGCACTTAGGGACTCTTAGAACCACGGAGTGTTTTCTAATGCTGAAGCGGCCTCTGGGTCATCCTTCCTAGTCCACGTTTCTGGACTCCCTCCCTCATTTGTTTATTGTTATTTTAATCCTCCCGAGTTTTACTAGAGAGGCAGCATCATCTAGGTGACTAACTGAACTGCCAGCTCCTCCTGATGCGGGGAGGGGTGGAATTCAGTGCGGAGACGTGCGATGGTGCAACACGCGCCCTACAGCGAAGGTCCAAGGGAAAGGCTGTCAGAATCGCTGGATTCTCCGCGCGTCCTCTCCCCGCCGCGGCTGGCGACCTGGCCCTCCGCCTCATGTTGGCACAACCTGCTTTGCTGCCGAGATGCCCAGCTTTCTCTCGCTCCCTCTGCTGGCCGGAATCAGATCCTTCGCCGCGTATTTGGCTCTGCTGCCTCCTGGGGATCCGCGTGCCTCTCCGGGCTTGGTTTTCAGCGCGTATTCTCTTGCTGGCTGCGTGCTGCATCAGAAGCTCTGTGGTACACAAGGGATGCCAGTCCTCAAAGTCCACCTTCAAGGAGCAGGACATTTGGATAATCTTGGAGAAGCAGAAGCCAGGACCCCAATCCAGAGCTCTGTGCCTGGAGCGATGAAGGAGTTATTGTCCCCAGATATGGCACATCAGGTTGCAACTTAATAAAGACAGAGAATAGACCTTATGCAGAGCTTTGCAATTTACAAAGCACTGAGACGTACATTTTCCAATTTAACCCTTTGTTTCTCCCCCCCCCCCACTCTCCCTCCCTCCCTCTCTCTCTGTCTCTCTTTCTTTTTTTCTTTCCTTCTTTCTCCTTTCGGCAGACTCTCAATCTGTCGTCCAGGCTGGAGTGCAGTGGCCCCCTCTCAGCTCACTGCAACCTCCACCTCCTGGGTTCAAGGGATCCTCTTGCCTCAGACCCCCAAGTAACTGGGACTATAGGCACTCACCACCATCCCCAGCCAATTTTTGCATTTTTTTGGAGAGACGAGGTTTCACCATGTTGCCTAGGCTGGCCTTGAACTCCTGACCTCAAGTGATCCACCCACCTTGGCCTCCCAAAGTGTAGGGATTACTGGTGTGACCACCATATCTGGCTAATTTAACCCTTTCAAGCACACCACTGAGGATGACATTAATGAAATAAAATAGAAATTGTGTTGGGAGCCTGACATTTACTGTCATCAGCTGTGATTACTGGCAAACATCTTGTTAGTCAGCTGATGTTGTGTCTCATTTCAAAGGACACATTTGAAACAGAGTCTGGTTTCGAAGGAAAACCCTGTGGTCTGATCCATCACAGCAGCTCTCCTGTCTCCGCCTCTCCAGCAGTGTCCAAGAAGATCAAAGTCTGAGGAGACAGGTGTGAGTCCCGGAGAGGCATCCAGTGGGTAATTCTCCACTTCTGCCTTGCAACCGAGATCCCAGAAATTCTGAAAGTGCACTTTTAGGATTAAAAGCATTTAGCTTCGTGTCTTCCTTTGTAGGAATGGAAAATCAAAATCATTCTGAAGTCATGGTTTCTTTTAAGATGCAAAAGAACTCCTTTCAA